ACTCGTTATTTATTTTGTGTTTCATTTTTCTTAATTTAACATAATTATTATTCTAACGATTGATTTAACTGATAAATAAATCTTTTGTACATATTTATTATATCCAAAGCAGATATCAATACGTTTTTATGCATCTCAATATAACTCAGAAACACTGATATTGAATATCTGCAAAGTTACAAAACGGATCAATTCACGCTTTTTATGTTGATCGTTTAATGACTCGACAGCAACTATCATTATTGACATCTATCATATAATTGTTTATCTATGTAAAAAACAAAAACTGCGTTATTTAAACCATTCACAAGTTCTCTTCAGCTATTGAAATTTCAATAAAGTCTCTGGAATGTTCTAGAATCTTCTAAAACACGTTAAGTCTTGTTGTTAATGTCGTTCAGCACCCTTTTTCGTTGTTAAGAAATTACGGAAAATGAATCTGGTGACTGTTGTCTTCGATCGCTAGTAGAAACGTAATTATTAATTTCTGAACATTTTCGTTTCTAAGATCCAAAATAGGGTGGAGGAGAACCAGAAAACTTTGACTTGAAACTTACACTTACTATTTTTCTTCGAACAATATATGTGAATTCCACAAAATAGGGTGATTTAATCAAGATGTAAGCCACATGTTTAACATAAATCGATGATTAGCTGTGCCTACATTGAATCGTCTAGACAATAAGGTATTATAAAACAAAACAAAACAATATCATTTTCATTTCGTATTATTTTTAATGATACTTCATGTAGAATATAATTATTAAAACGGCGATTTTTTTTACGGAAAATATTTTTTCACACAATCAGAACAAAAGTCTGTATTAGGACAATAATGTAGTCGACGTATGTGCTCATTAAATGTAAATGATTTTCCACACATATCACACCGTGCTACTCCACGTGCTTTATAGCGCTCTTGACATGCTTGGCTATGACTTTTCGATGTTTTTTCGAGTATTGTATAGAGAAAATGTATTTGTTCCGATTGTTGTTTGACTGATGCATTGAGTTCATCTATGATCGGTTGAACTTTTATTAATGGACATTTACTAACATGATCGTGCATTTTATCATGTTGTCCCTTCCAATCACATTTAAGATGGGCTGCTGGACATGATACCCTTCTTTCCTCACAATTTATCATATGATCTTTGAAATTACCACGTTGAATATTAATTTGTGAACACCATTTGCATTTAACAAGTAATTGATTAAGTTGATTAAGAAAAGGACGTATGGTGACAGGATGAAAATCTTCAAGTTTCAAATCATGACGGCATGTTGGACATCTGGACATATCACGAAAAGTATCTGTAATACATTTTCGACAAAATGTATGTCCACACTGATTGGCACAGAGAGGATCTTCAAGTGGATCAGTACATATAGGACAGAGCAAGTCTTCATGAATTGAGCTTTCGTTCATGTATTCATAATCATCACTAGTTGCCATTTAATATAGAATTGGATTTATGCTAGAGAAAAAAACAGACGAAGAAATATGTTTGTATTTTATGTTACTTATGTGTAAATTGATAATCGACATGATAAATATATTTCGATGAAAGAAAGATAGCTGTGCCTTTTTATATTTTACTGGCTTCTACTCTGTATGTAAGAATACCTAGTCAGACTAAGGCTCATTTTAATGTGTTGAAATCCGCATTTTTTACGCAGAAAAAAATCATAAAAAAATTATTTTTATTTTTTTTTAAAGCAACTTTGTGGGCATCATTGTCCTCAGACTCACTTTGTTTTTCAAGAAAAAAAATATTTGAAAACGTAAAAAACGCACATTTCGACGCGTAAAGAGTTTTTTATCGATGTTGTTTGACTGAATAGATAAGAATTGAAGAATGTCACTAAATCATTATAAGATTAACTCATTCACGGCAATATGAGCCACCAGTGGCTCACAGCATATTTTGACGAGGAAAATAATAAAAAAAAGTTCCTTTCTCTTTTTTTTTCTAATCAATGGGTGTTGCATAACTTCTCACTAATTCCATCTTCACCACTGTCTGAATCGTTTATTACATGGAGTGATGCTTCTCATTGAAACAATCAAGGCAAAAGAATTTTTCGCAATCAGAACAGTACGTTTTGATTCTCTTTGCTGTTATCGCACTTGCTTCTCTTGATTGTTGTTGTTTGATTTTCTCATAGCAGCCAGCCCAGCGTCTTCAGACATAGGGCGCAGATCCTTTCTTTTCTTCAAGCTTGTGATCAGCTAGTTTGCGCTTCGAATGACTCGTTGGTTGTTGTCTTGGACCAGGTTTCAGCTTCTCGAATAGCATATGAAGGAGTAAAGATCATACAAGACTTTCGCGAAACTGCAGAATGGTCATGTGATCTGTGTCAGATTTGAAAAGATCAGTAAGACAAATTTCGTTTCTCACTTCCCATAGTTCAATCAATTCATTTGATATTATCTACTTTCACAAGTAGCAAAAATAACAAATATTTTTTTTATAGTGTAACTAGTTATACAAGAAAAACGAACTCATCTGCATCGAGAACAGTTAAACAAAATCTTTACATTACAATTGGATGAATTATTATTCAAGAAAATATTCTTGTTATTCGAAAATACAGTAAAATACGTCGAGTGGAAGATGACTGACAGAAAAATATACTTATCCTTAGTAAACTTTCTCAAACACCATAATGAGTTGTTGTATGAAAAGTTTCCAGTATTTTTAGTAGCATTTCAGTTTTACGACAATATGTTATCTTTTTTTTCATAAATATCAAATGTTGCATATTTCATCAGTTTTCTTTAACATTATGAATTAGAAAAATAATAGACAAGTTAAAATAAGTTAGTTACATCATTCAATAGCTTGTTATTATACTTTAGTCGATATATGAATTGTAAAACGCTTCTATTATGAATACCATGAGAATTGTTAAAAAACATTGACTATACAAAGATGTGCAATTTAGAGAGTTGATGCAGGATTTATCGTGAAATGAAGAAAAGCTTTTAAGATATTTGTGTTTACATTAGTCTTAGATAAAGGTTCTAGTGATTTATTCTGTTGTTTATCAGTTTTCGTTTAAATGATTTGAATTGAAAGACTTTTCAAATACAACAGGAGATTGAGTATTTTTTTTGTCTTTTCGTTTTTTGATTAATATCGTTATGAATTAGTTTTGATTGTAATCCAACAATTAATTTCATTTTTTACTTGCAAACTAAGCTTGTGTCGTGATTTCATTATTTTTTTAATACACACAATAGTGGATTCATAGATAAAGTGTATCTAACAAGTGATATACAGTAGAAAGACGCCAAGAAAAATAGCTGTGAACAATTGGACCCATCGATGAGGAAGTTGTTCCCGTTTATGCAGAAATGGTTCACCCCACAACACATCACATATATTAACGAGAAATAGAAAAAAAAAGAATATAAAAATATATCTATCACGTTTTATTTACCGTAAAAGAAATACCTCAGCAACAATATGAACTGCATCTACCTATCCCTATTCAATGCACTATTCTTCATTTTTGACTTCTGCTTATCAAGATAGAAATAACGAATTATTTCTCTTGGAATAATTTATACTTCTACTAAAAAAAACCGTTTCTACTAGAATTTGTTCTGAGCGTGACAAAGTAATACGATCAATATCTCTTTAAAACTTTTTGACTTCTAGTTAAATAAGTAGAAACGGTTGAATGATTTCTCCCTTCTGCATATTCGATTTGCTCTGGTATGAATGATCTGATGTAAAGAATATTATTTTTTAAAAAAGCATTTCCGCTTGACTTTTTGTACGTTGAAGCCTTTCTGCTTGAAATAGAATAATTTCCCGCTTTGGAAGGATATTGGCCAGCCTCGAAAAAGAAACAAGAGACCAAAATTTTGGCCAACGAAATTTTCGGCTACGACTTTAGGATCGACCCGAAGTTTTTTTAGTTTACTGGTAGATATCGTAGTGCTGAGCAGAACATCATAATATTTAGCAGGATGGTGTAGTGCTCTATAGGATGAATTTAGATGATGCTATAGTTATAGTTTTCTGCTCAGCACTATGGTATCTACCAACTAACTAAAAATTAATATTTTTAGGGGTCAATGAAGTTAGTTTAAGGACGAGCCGAAAGTCCTAAAGGAATTCCGGACCAGCCCGAAAGTCTCGGCTGAAATTCATGTAACCTAAGTAAACATTCCACGTGAATTCAAATTCGAGAGATTATAATATTAAAGAGAGATCGCAAAAAAAAAGCACTTGCTATTCAGAACAAGAAGGCACTCATATTAAAGAGAAATATTTTCAGCAAAAATCACTCTGTCGGATCCGAGAATGTTCATAATTAAGAGGTATTCACTAGTAGAGTTTTTACTGTATAAATATGTTGACTCTTGTTTCGTTCACATAGATGAGTTCAGAGATTGAAAATAATTTGACATAATTTAAAAACAAAGATATATGAGAGAGGGAAATGATCAGATCATAGAGAAATGTAACACGGAATTTTATTAAATTTTAAAAAAGATTATTTGAAAATTACTCGACTAAAATATGCTAAAATTTTGAATTATTCTTAACAAAATTTCATTCGTTTATGATCAACACTTATTTCAGTTGATTGAGTTTTCTTTGTGCCAATCCATACACAAACCATTTTATAACCTTTCGAACATGTTGAATCAATCGTATTATCAGTAAACCATTTAATGATTTCTTCAGAGAATTTAGTAAGTCTTACGTCAAATTTGATTGTTGTCAATTGATTACATCGATCGAGAATCATCTGTATTTGTTCTATAGTATTAATTGGTATTCCCAAATGTTTTACATGATTTGGAATAATACTATGTATATTATCTATTGCTAAATTTAATTTGTATCTATAAAGACCAGTTTGAATAATTAATGATGACAGATTTTGAGCTTGTTCAATAAAATTTCGAATGCCTATGAATACATTTTGATTGTATTCACTAAAATAATAGCTACGCAATGTCATATGAACTATTTGAGAAATATTAATGAATATGGAAAGAGATTGAAGAGAAAGTAATGGCCATTCTTCGTAAAATTCAATCGAAACTTTAGTCACTTTGGGAAACAGAAGTTGATTTGTTGTTGCTTCCTGAAAATATTCAAACACAGACACTAGTTTAGTTTAGATAGCATAATTTTATTTTCAGTTATGTATTAAGAAATTTTGCGTTTATTCTCAATTTATCATTTATAAAAGTTTTATTTAATGATTTGAGTTTAAATGTAATAGACAAGTCTCATAAAAGATCAAGAAATAATCCATATTTATTTAAGTATCATTCAATACCTTGCAAAATCAGTTTTATATAAAAAACATTGTTCGCATATCTTGATACTACAAAAAAAATGTCATCAAATTGCAAGAAGTTTGTGTATCGAAGCGAAAAAGAAATACTTTCAGCACAACAATTTCTCATTTAAGCTAAAAACTTCAGCATTATCATGTTGTGAAATCACAATCATAAGAGTTTTGTCATGGTCACAGCGATTACGATTCGTGACCATGTATCATGAAAATCATTTCTCATTATTATGACATTTTTTCGAAAATAATGAATGTTGTTCAGCAAAGTTAGATATATGAATTCTATTCTTAAACTTTTACTTGCCATTGGCAACTGGAATGGCTATTTTGAAAAACATTGCGGAAAATGCAAAACGTGTCATATTAAAACATTCTTTGCACCGCTGTGTATAGAGATCGTCCTAACAATGGAACTGTTTGTTATGTCAGTTGATATGATTAGCTATATTCGGATCAAATTATCGTCCTCAACGAGAAACTATCAAATTAAAAATATGAGCTGTCAATGGAAAATCTGAATTGAGTTATTCAAATTTTAAGGTATTGACAATTTAGATATATAAGAGCTAGTTCACAGAAGAAGCCATAACCGATTCTCACAGAAGCTATTCAATCGTGATCATCAGATTTTACTCAATTTAATATACGTATGTTGTAGAGGGAATAGGTTTAAGAATTTTGAAGCAAGCCGTTTGACAGAATATTGTTCCGTTCTCGAGATAGTTAAATCTATCTGAGGATACTATCACCAAAAAAAAGATATTGTATGTGATATTCATATCTCACCAAAAATACATTGATTTGACTTGAAATTTTTTCTGTACATACATCTTAAGTTGATAAACTTATCATAGAACAATGATTTCAAACGAGTAAACTGTTGATGATTTGATCGTACTAACAGCTACACGACAAAAACAGTCATTTTTTCGGTATTTTGTGTATATACATATCTCATGAATGGACCATGTGGAAGAGCTAAAACTTTGATAATAGAGAGGTCTTCGGGAGTACCTACGATGATAAAAAGTACAGCTCTCTATATAGTTCTTCTCACTCAGAAGACCTCCTACAAAATCATGATTTTGTCCGAGTTCGATCTTCCAAAATATGTGCTCAATAGAAGTCGAACTCATGTAATTTTAAAGAACACATTGAGCACTATATAGTTATGCAAGACCTAACTTGAGATTTTGTAAAACGGTCTGGAGAATCATATTGAAAAATACCGAAAACTATCTAGTTTGTCGGGTAGCTGCTACTACGATCAACTCAACAACAGTTCACTCATTTAAACTCATTTTTCTATGATAAGTACATCAATTTGAAATGTATGTACAAGAAAACTTTCAAGCCGAATCAATGTATTTTTGGTGATAGTGTCCTCAGATAAATTTAACTATCTCGAGAACGGAACAATATTCTGTCAAACGGCTTGCTTCAAAATTCTTAAACCTATTTCCTCTACAACATACGTATATTAAATTGAGTAAAATCTGATGATCACGATTGAGTAGCTTCTGTGAGAATCGGTTATGGCTTCTTCTGTGAACTAGCTCTTATATATCTAAATTGTCAATACCTTAAATTTTGAATAACTCAATTCAGACTTGTCATCAGCAGCTCATATTTTTAATTTGATAGTTTCTTGTTGAGGACGATAATTTGATCCGAATATAGTTAATCATACTAACCGACAGGGCAAACAGTTCCATCGTAAACTACCAATTGATCAATAACAAAATATTTTGTATCATTGTTCTGTCTCCAAGATATATAACTTACAAAAACATATTACTATGAGATTATTTAAAGAAAAAAAAAAGATTTCTTTTTCTTGATTGTTTTCTTTTACCCACGAGAAACATATATCTTGATGATGTACCGTGTGATAAATATCGACGAAAGTTGCTGAGAGTTGCCATTGAAAGGTAATGACATGAAAAACAAATTTCGACATTCTCATCTAAACATAATACTTGTTTATATTTACGCATAGATAAGCGATGAGAATACACTGCATTGTGAAGAAAGAAAAGAAAATTTGGTTTTTTTTTATAATAAATAACAAAACTTCATTCAGTAAATAATGAATAATTCGACTGGAACTTCAAAGAAATTAGGATGAATATATATATATATAGTTATTTAGATTGAGAAAAATGAATAACCTATTCAAGTAAGTTGAAAATATGAGATTTTTTTTGTATTGTGTGAAATCTTATGTATTTAACAAAATAGACAATTATTGACTAGCTATGACACAAATCTTATTTTTCCACTTGAAGATTACGTACTTTACGATATTAAGAGCATATGCAATCTACGAATATTTTTTTGTCAAACTTTACTATCTGAGTTTATTCTATTCGCAGATAGTATCACACTTTTGAAAATTCTTTGAAAAGTAGTCAAGTTCGATAATATTTGATGAAATTGCTGAATTTTTACTGAATTGGACGACTTTTTAAAGAATTTTACAAACTCTGACACTATCTACAAATAGAATAAACTCAGATAATAAAGTTTGATGAAAAAGATTCGTAGATTACATATATTTTTAATATCGTAAAACTTGTAGTCTTCGATACAGAAAGATAGTATTCGTTCAATATCTATTTGTGACTATTTCAATGTTTTTCATTATCTGTGATCAACTTCTTGTCATAGCCAGATTGATCAATATTTGTGACCCAACTACGCGTTATATCAGGATGTGTTTATGTAAAGATCCATTTCTAGTAATCAATCTTCTATATATTATTTTTTTTCAGTATATAATATGACATATTTAGAAGATGATATTCTCGTCGTTTCAAACTACCAGACCTCCTCTATTTTGAATAGACTTTTAAAAATTCCAGTACTCTGTAGTCTTTAGAATATTTTTTAGGTTTGTTCATTTGGTTTGATCGATGATGTTAACGGGAGCTGACTGAGACAGACAAAAGATGACACTGTTGTCCATTCGTTAAACCGCTATGATTTTTGACGAACGAAGAAAAAAACTCAAAGTTAATATTCATTACATGCTGCTGTATACATATTTTGAAATGTATAACAACTCTAGTTGAATAACATACTTTATCTTGTATATAGTCGGCTAATGCTTTACTTAAAATCAAACTGAGATAATTGACATCATTTTGTATAAATTGATGATTGTCTATTATGTTGCTATAAGTGGAGAGTGAATTTTTTTGCAATTCTATTTCATAAGTTAAAAATGATTTGCATATTGGCATTGAATAAAGATAGACAATGGTTGATCGTTTGATATCACATGCACAAGTAACAAACCATTTTTTGTGTTCAATCCAAAACGGTGTTCGAAAAGAAGCAATAATTAACTCAAGATCTGTTAAGGTTTTTTTCACTGGATCCCAATAATCAAAATAAAATTCAAATTTCTCTAATTTCGGTAAATTTATTTCAATAAATTGTTCCCATCGTTTTCCATCAAACATATGTTGTCCGCCAATGAGTTTCAAATAAACAAGTGATGGTGTCAATAGAAGAAATGATTCCAATGCATCAGTATTCATATCAAGTTTCTCTATGGTTAATGATGTTAACTGTCGAAAACATATTGGAAGAGTAGATATTTGAGAGATATTATTAATAATTTTGCTAAATTTTTGTTTCAATATAATTTTGTATAAATGAGGAGAACATTGAAGTATTTTTATAAGATTATCCATAGTTATATCTTCATTTACAATTAAATATTCAATTGAACAATTGAATGGCCATGAAGTCTTCCATAATCTGTCAGTTGTTAAATTAAATTCCATTTTTCGAAAGTTCGATTGAGAGATAATTGATGTTAGAAAACTGTTAGTTGTTTTAATACGTCTATCATCATATCTTTTTATATTAAATGAGAACGAAGTAAGTAACTTAAGATTAATTCGTTTCAAAATAAAATTTAATTGATATTCATTAATATCAATAAGAGTTATTGAATGAAGTCGAGTAAATTGACGAAGACGAACTAATGAAATAAACAAATCTATTTGATTTGATGTTCGTTCTTCATTTGAAAGTGTCAATGATATAATATTATGTGGATTAATTAATCGACAAAGAAGATAAAGATTTGATTTTGAAATTGAAGTCAAATTCAAAATATATCTACTATAACTATTAACAAACGATCGAAATAATCGACATACATGTCGAACTGAAAAAATAATTGTTTCTATATCAAGATTATCCAAAATGTAATGAAATAATTCTACTGGTAATATCTCAATTGATAGTTTTATGTTGTTTGACATTGAGATAATAATAATAACCTATAATGAAACTTTTTAAAATGTATTATTAATAAAAATATAAATAGTCATGCGCAATTGTACAAAAATAAGTACTTCTTACCTATGACATAAACTAAAAACAGAATGTAAAAACACCTTATTACTTATTTTTTTGACATGTGGGGAAACGTGAAGGAAGCAAAAAATAAATATAAAAAATCTGAATAACCATTTCGAATCAAATAAGATGTCGCCATGGGTAGCAATGCCTTTGTAAAATACTTGTTTAAATTTTGATGTCAAATAAAATTTGCTGAATATGAAGAAACAATCACTTCGGTTGATGCATTAGTTTTGAAATTCATTCATAATGTCATAGGTAATTACTCATACTAATGTATCTCTTATGAAAATCTTATTGATCAATTCATCAAATTTGAGCTTAAAGATTTCTATAATAATGTCTAATGTATAAGAAAGAGTTTGGGTAGATTAAAATTGTACTTTCATTTATTTTCATCATAAGTTGAAAATAAATGTTATTCATAGACTTAATTTTTTATATTTTTGTATTGCTATAGAACTTTTTTGAAAACTTGAGCTAAAAATCATAACTAATATATATTATTTTTATTCATTATCTTTTCGATTTATTAATGTAAATGAATATTAATAAATTGATATGTGAAAATATCATTGTGTTTATCTGCCAAAAATAAATGAAATTGTGTTTCTCATTAGAAATAACTTTGCTAATTGAAACTCTAGTGAATAGTTTTAAAAAACCATAGGAATAGAATAGAAGGCATGTTTCTCTTGATTAATCAATCAGTTTTAAATTATTTAACTACATCGATTCTCTTGATAATAGCAGAGAAATGACTGATCTTTTGTAGATCAATTTAAAGATATAATTCATCATTGATACTATCCGTATACAAAGAATGGATCAAACAAGTATTGCGACTAATTGTTCGAGAAAATACTCATGATATCATTCTTATTTTACCATTGTCATCAATAGCATCATACAGAATGTTCGATAAATACCTTGACAATGAAAAATTTGAATATCTTCAGTATGCTTCAACCAAGAGAGCTAAATATTGCATCTCTGATAGAGAAATCTTCAAAGAACTGAGTCATAGAAAAATATACTAAAAGAAATTTTGTTTTCAAAGATTATTATTCATCTCAACAAACAATTATAGTGGTTCGCCAGCTCTAAAAAAAAACATTATAAGTTGGCTAGCAGGTATAATTAAAATGTGCAAATTCATGCCCATTCGCATTGATGCACATTTAAAGCCTTTGAGACATTGAAAGACAACGGTTTCTTGCAAAGATTATAACCCAATGTTTCAAATACAGAAAGAATAGATTATCTAGGATTAGCCAGGCTTCAAGGATTACTTTTATACATGAATTTTTTAAAATGACAATCACTAGGCTTGAGAGTGAGATTGACACGGTTCGTGTATACTAGAATGCAAGTGTAAGAATATTGGATGAACTCACAAGTGCCGCAAAAAATTCTAATTCTTGTTCTTACACCTTTAAGAACATATACTTTCGTTTTTACTCAAATGACACTTTTAGTTTTTAATATCATTGCCTTTTTTTTTTGGAATTCTTGAGTATCTTTGCTATGACCCATTACTGTATAAAAGCTATGATATTTTATAATAGACTAGGCGACTCGGTCTATCGTCATAGATACTCGGACTCTATAAATAGAAATATTCTAAAATAAACTCAGTCATTTGCAAAAAATTTTGATGTGAATATTTATGTGCACTTTGATTTTAAAATATAACGAAATTTCATTTAATTCTATATTAAAACTCTTAGAAAATGGGCACCGATTTTCCTTTATGTTACTTTTCTTAGTTTTGAGCTATGCAAGAACATTAATGACTCAGAGAAGACATGTACTAATTTTGTCTCGAATACGTTACTACACTTGCTTATTTGCTGACAATGGTTGAAATTATCAAGTAAGAAAAAAAAATGTATTTGAGTTAATCCTTCAAATTGTGTCTAATCAAGTAATGAATACAGTGTTTTATCCAAGTTTTTCATTCCAGGAGGACGGAATTGATTTTCAAAGGGCAGGGCAAGCAAAAATTTTGTTTTAGAGAGAAGCTGTTATCGCAATTAGAGGCGTAAATCGTGTGGATGAGCCGCCGCCGATTTTTCCGAAAAATTTACAACCGTCGCCATCAACACCTGAATGCGAAAATCGAACGTTTTTAAATTTATGTTCAGTCATGTTTGAGACAAGAAATTTCTTCTTAATCTTTTCGATTGTTCATATGTACGAAAAAGTAACACTCTGGTATCCGAAACAATAAAAGTGCAAAGCATTTTTATTAATGTTGGTAGTTTAAGTTTTATTTGTATCTAAAGCTATCACTCGATATAACAGTTTTATCATCATTTCAATGAAAGCTTTTTTTTTATTAAAACGATAATTTATTTGCTATCATTTGCGTTACTTGCACAAAAGAACGAATAAAACATAAGATATTAAACGAATTTACTGCAAAATCAGCTTCGACAAATTAAAATTTGAACAAATATATGATAGTTCATCCTCAATCGAAAAAAGAATTAGCGTTTACAGTTCTACATGAGACACGAAAAATATGATAAATCTCTTATTGGTAATCCATCGAGTGATAGAAACTCAGCAAACCAGAACAACAAATTAACATATTCCTTTCTTGTTTTCTCTAAATTGCTACATAGAAAAAAAAGATGCAGAATTAAAACAAGAGCTTGAACATAAATCAAAATATTTTCTAGAGATCGTCTTTCAGTCTCTATAGTTTAAAACTAATGTAAGCAAGTTTATTAGCATCTTAATACATATCAATTAAGTCTATCTGTATTTACAACCATTGGATCTCTTGATTTCTATCAAAGTTATCTAGTAATTCATGACTCATCTCTATATTACCCAAATGTAATGTCTTGATTGAACTAACGTGCGAAATACAGTTATTTCATTTAGTTTTTCGAAATTATTAATAATTAGATGTTGAAATAAACGGGGATTTCTTATCATCTAAAGTATTATTCAGTTTTGAAATTCCCAGCAACTACCATGGCAGTAAAGACTTTAAGCCGTCGTCGTGAGCATAAAAAAACTTAAGCTTTTACAGTCGTCTTCGCCGCTGAAGAACCTACAGATTTGAATTAGCCACCACCGAAGATTTTGAAAAATTAAAAATTTTTCAACGCCACCGATCAACTGATCGGTTTATATCTCTAATCGCAGTTACCTCTCTAAAGGGCATTTCTTTTTTTCCGGAGTGAACACGATTTGTCGGGATGCCGCCCTTTCGGTTCCCACACTAGAAACACTGCAATGTTCGATAGAATAATTTCACTTCCAGTTTTTATCAATTAATCGCAGAGAAAATCAATTACAAGTTCGACTTAATCGACCATGTCATCTAATATCATCGCATGCCGATTGGTGACTCTCAGAAACTTCTTGATTGTTACTATTTTAGAATAAAAACACATCAGTTTTTCAACTAGAACTAACATATTCTAATCGATGGTATATAACAATAGTCAATGTGTTACATTGAGTTAATTAACATTAGTCATTCAATTTTCAATTCGTTCTGTCTATGATGAAAATCAAACATGTACACAGATTTTAAACGATAGAATGATCAACTGTCGACTTTTAATTGTTAGATGTCGAAATAATCCACCAAATAACAATCCAATATCAATAGAAGATGAAGTTATTAATTAGTAACAATATTTACCATCTATATGCATCATTATTCAAGACAGTAAATGGTTTATCTCGTATTCAATTATGGATTCAATAAGAAGGGGGAAAAAAGCAGGTTTATTGATCGTATTGATTTTCATAGAGCGTATCACGCAAACATGAAGCTAATCAAAATATTAAATTTCGCTTTAGAAAGCGATTGAAATAGATATTTTTCAGGATGAACTTTGTTTGCGTTGTAGTATAGCATTTCACAATCAACTATTCTAATTTTAGATATATTTTTACTAGTGTTCAAATTTCGAATAGGATGCATTAGTTAATATTCATCTGTTTGCACCAATGTATATATGTCTACTTCCAGAAACCAACGAATGTTAACATTTTTACTGGCGAACTGCTAAAAACTTGGTTGTAATAACATTATCAAAATTAAAACAAGATAAATTGAGATCAATACAACTTTTATCTAGGATCCAAATTGAATTGTGACTAGTAATATCATGAGGATCAATTCTGAGTACTCACATTTTTTTTTTGAAAGTTTGTAACAATATTCTCGGCTAATCACGACATGGTCAAGTCCGTTGTCATAGTGATTCTCGTTAAAATTTACATTCTATTGCTTACCTTAGAATTTACATGAAATCAGAAAAATAAAACTGAACGAAGGGTATTGTAAAGCCTGTAGAAAGAGTATAATCAACTTAAAAATGTCTATAGAGGTCACTAATAAATATATTAGATAGCAAATGGCATTTTTAGTTTTTGTTTCTTGTTCTCAATTGACATTAGAAAGAGAAGAAACTGGTAAATGATTTCTTATCATCATAGGTCTGAATAGATTTATAGTCGGAAGAAACATGAAATAAACAAATAATTTCAATGTCATGTTGTAATTAGTTATTATACAGGTTGCTATAAGACATTATCAAAAGAATTTTGTATGGTATAACAAGAGATAGAAATATGATGAGTCACAGATTAATTTCAGATTCTAACGCAATATATGTGCATTACATTACGGCATATTTTTAGACGAACAAAAAGATCTTTTCTTAAAAGCAAAATGGGAGAGTCACAAAATTCGGCTGATCTCATTCATACGACATCGGATACACTATCATATTTATCTTTATCAACGCAACCTAACATCAAGTATAAATCTACGCCTGATCCATTATCTGTCTACGTGCCATTGGATTCTCTAACTGAGGAAACGATTGATTCTATTGTTTCGACTGTTCAACAATCTAATAAAAAGGATTGGAATCATAGTAGACGTACATTGCTCGCTTTTTTGCTTGCAATCAAGAATAAAGTGAGCGATATTGAAAAACAAGACTCAAAAAATACATTCGATAAACAAATCGTACAACACGCCAGAAAAGTTGGGGAATGGCTCGTAGAGAAAGATCATTCTGGTAATATCAACAAACTTGATTGGGACGAACTTCGTAAAACGTATGAACAAATGGCAAGTGAGAATGATGACGGCATGGCAAGACATTATAGTGTTACAAACGTCGAACCTTACTATGAGTTAACTATTGAAGGGGTGAGTTTATCTATATCGTACATATGAAATTTTTCATTTTATGATTTCAACTGAGACGTGTGCAAATTTCATGGATTCTGAACTCTTAAAGAATTTTCTGAAGTCAAACATAAGACAGAAAATAGAACTCACAAAACTAGGAGTGTCATATTCTCGCTACTGGTATCAGTAAGTGGCGAGTGATATCATTTACTATCTAACAATTACGTAGATGTTAGGTGGTGAATGTCTTGTATTTAGTTGAAAGTAAATCATTCACGTTAAATCAATCGATTCTTTTTTCGAATTATACACATCCTATGTACACATTGGCTAATACAGTATGAATTCGAATCTGTATGTGATTTGCCGAAATTTCCAAGTCCGATTTTCTCATTTGATGAAGACTTACTTCCTACGATTCATAAAATGTCTTAAAATGGATATCTCTTAGTCGAAACAAGAAATCGAACTCAGATATTTGATCAAGTCATCTATAGATCTTGATTCTTCGACCTTGAAAATCTTTCGTCAAGTTTTATAAAGCTCACTTATTTTCTTGAAATAGGACTTTCACAACAGAAAAAAGTCTCGAAAGATTTCCATTTGATATCATCAACACCGTGACATAAACAATTCATTCTTAATTAAGTGCAAACCGCTAGTCAACTACCTGGTAGATGGTAATAGTTAAAATAGCTATTTATTATTGCAAAATAGAAAGTTTCTTAATCAAAAAACACTTACTGTTAC